CCAAGTTCTGTGAGCCACTCTAGAAAATTAATCAAACATAAGAAACAGATAATGGAAACCCCCAATCTTTCTGTGATTGGCAAGTCTGACTGCCCCCCACAGTCTTGTAGGTCTGAACCCCTAACCTGCAGAATCTGATGCCATCTCCAGATAGATAGTATCAGAAATGAGCTGAATTATGGGACACCCAAGCTAGTCTGAAGTGTTGCTTGTTGGATGCCTGGGGAAACCCTCTCCCTCACACATTGGAACTGGTGAGCAGAATCCTTATATAACAATAAATTAAATGCAAAGAGAATAAAAGGAAGGAAATAATAAAGAAAATATGATTGTAGAAAAAACCAACAAAACCAAATCTTAGTTTTTGAAAAATGTATAAAGTTGATTATCTCCCTATCAAGATCAGAGAGAGAAAGAACAAAGAAGAGAGAGAGGACAAATTTCTAAGATCTGGTAAAACATAATTATGAACCCCATAGACATTAACATAATAAAAGGAGGATATTATGCACAAGCCAACAGTAAATTAGAAATTTGAACACCTTTGACAAATCCTTTAAAACCATAACTTACCAAAGCTGACACAAAGAGAAATAGACAACTTGAAAAGAGTTCTTTTAATTTTTTTTAATTAGCTGTGAAATTTAAAACTCCCCCCTCAAAAAGAAAAAAATTTCCCAACACACGTCTTCACTGCTGAATTTTACCAAGTATTTATGAAAAAATAAATAACAGAAATCTTCCCTGAGAACAGAAACATAGGAAAGATTTCTTGACTCATTCTATGAGACAAAAAAACCCCTCAATACCAATAGCAGACAAGGAAATTATAAGAATTTAAGAAACATTGAAAACAAAATATTAGCAAACTGAATCCACATAATACATTGCGAACAAGACAGACAAGCTTCAGAAACACAATTTTGTTTTATCATTTGAGAATCAATAAGTGTGACTCACAATATTAAAAGGAAAAAGAGATATAAAACATTTTGTCATCTCAAGAAATGCGGAACACGAGGCTAATAAAATTCAACAGCTATCCACTGTAATAATGATAACATCAAGAAACATTTAGCAACTTTGAAAGTGTTCTCAATCTGATAAAAAGTATCTATGACACACTTACAGCAATTATTGTAAGTAATATAAACTCTTGAATAATTCTTGTCCAATACAGGTAAAAGGATGAGGATGCCAGTTGTCAATTCTATTCGTCAGTGTACAAGTGTTCATAGCCAGTGCAATTGGGCAAGAAAATGCAATAAAA